AGAATTCCCCAGCCAGCGAATGCTGGCTGGGGAATTCTGGGAGTTGAAGTCCGGACATCTTCAAGTTGCCAAGGTTGGGAAACACTGGTTTAAAATGTATAGTAGCAATAATATTTAACATATGGTCTCTGTGTTCATTTATTGGGTTCTCCCCCCCCACCCAGTTCCCCCCTTTTTTTACCAGCTGCTCCCAAATTATAAATTATGAACTCAAATCATAATATAAGCTAGTCCTTAAAGTTCCAGCCTTGCAAAAAATATTTTAGAAACACAGCTGTTGTTTGGTAAACAGAAACTTGTCTGATGTCAGCAAAACTTTCAGAAAAGCAGTTTTTAGAATTACGTCATATGGAGAGACCTGAGCAGGAAGCTTTTCTGGTTAGGAGATTATGCTGGAGAAGTAAGCCATTCTTATCTGCTATTCTTATCATTAAGTCTTCTTAAATTTACACCAAGGTCATTAGCATAGCAATTGGTAATGTGTCATACAGACCTTTGCTTAATTGTGGAATCAACGCTAATAAAACCAACTTTTAGTATTGAAAAGTAACATTTTTTGATGTGCAGAATATACAGGATGATAGCATTATATACACAAGTCCTTGTTTTGTAAGCCTAAAACGAAAGATGAGCAATGGAAATGAAGAGTTAATATTTTTTGCAATGTTGAAAAAGATTGTTTTGCTTAGCTTCCCACTTCCAACATAGGCCCAATGATTCTTTATTTTCCTCAAGGCGAGTTTACACAACCTAACCTGTGTGCTTACTGAGCTAAATCGTATTCCTAGTTGCACGATAAATGAATTAGAAACCAAAGGGCAGGATTCACACCACACAGCCATTAAACCAATCCAAGCTTATACCAAGCAAGTGGTGGGATATGATGTGAGAATGATTAAAAAGTTAACAGTCTTGTATGAACATATTTGGAAAAGGACGCAAGTTTCTCCAGGGGAAGAGACTATTTGTACTTCAAAGTAGAACTGTGGGATTCCTGCTATCTCTGAGTTTGGTAGTTTGCTTGCAAACATTTCGTTATTATATTAGGTAGCACTATCAGTGTTGTTATTTAGATCATCACCCAATATTTCGCACAGAACAGAAAAGAGTGTAGAAATAATAATTAAAAACCTAAATATTTGCAATCTAGAACACTGAAGCTTTTCCTCTGACATTCCACTTGTCTGGAATGGAATAGGGTCTCCTGCTTGTGGCAAGGGGGTGGACTAGAAGGCCTCCAAGAATCCCTTCCAATTCTTATTATTCTGCAATTTCCCCCCTATTTCTTTTAAGCCCAGCGGAACTCTCGGCACCCTGACTTTTGTTTCCGCCCCTACTAGGAACCGTGATACCCCCCCCTCAAGCTTCGCTCTCATTGGCTCAGGCCCTGCTCGGGCGCGCTCCCTTCGGCGCCGGCGATTGGCTGCTCCGCGACGCAGCGGCGGTTGCCCCGGGTGACGGCTGCGTGTGCGCTTCCGTATGCGGTCCCCCATCGCGGCGCCGCGGACGGAGCCATGGCCAGCGTCCACGAGAGCCTTTACTTCAACCCCATGATGACCAACGGCGTGGTGCACGCCAACGTCTTCGGCATCAAGGACTGGGTCACCCCCTACAAGATGGCCCTGCTGGTGCTGATCCGGGAGCTGGGCCACGCCGGGCCGCAACTCAGCCTGCTGGACAGGCGGCGTCTCAACCGGCTTCTGTTGCCTCTCTTGCAGGTTGGGTGGGTGTGGGGGGGAGCTGGAGGGGAGAATGGGTGAGGCCTCCATCCCTTTGGGGCCTTTTGTGTGTGTGGAGAAGAGGGCACGTTATTTATTACATTTATTTGCCGCCTATGTCGCCTGGGGGGGCGGGGAGGGGGTTACTCTAAGCGGCTTACACGCAATAAGAAGAAAGAAATGAACAAAATGTACAGCAAGCTGGCAGGAATAGCCAACGCTCCAGAAGGCAGGCTTAAGATACAGAAGGATCTTGACAGACCTGAACCTTGGGCGCTATCTAACAAAATGAAATCCAAGGGTGAAAAAAAAAAGGCAGGTTCTACATTTAGGCAAGAAAAACAAAATGCACAGGTCCAGTATAGGTGGTACCTGGCTCAACAGTAGTAACTGTGAGGGGGATCTTGGAGTTCTAGTGGACGATCACTTAAATAGGAGCCAGCCATGTGCAGCAGCTGCCAAAACAGCCAACACAGTTCTAGGCTGCATAAACAGAGGGATAGAATCAAGATCACGTGAAGTGTTAATACTACTTGGTAAGGCCACACTTGGAATACGGCATCCAGTTTTGGTCGCCACGATGTAGAAAAGATGTGGAGATTCTAGAAAG